GGCGCAAGTCTCCTAGGCCGCGAAGGATTATGCGAGCACGGATGGACGACATGCGAAGCACGCGCGCGGGATACCGCGCGCGACAAGGAATAGCGCCGAAGGCACGCGCGTGGGACGGACCGAAGGAATTGGGGCGCTGAGAGTTTTAGCATGTGGGAATTGAAGGGAGCTTCTAGATTTGCTTGGTGTGCAAGCCAAGCAATAGTATTATGGTAGCTTTAGGATTTTATTGCTTTCTAGAGTTAGGATTTCTATTCTTGGAACATTTAGGAGATCTATTAGATTTAGGCATAGATTTATTTTACAACTATAAATACCCCATGTACCTCATCATATTTTACATGTTGAATTGAGTATTGAATTGGTGAGCCAATCTTGAGGGGGAACTTATGTTCTTAACGTGTGATAAAGAAGGCCATTAGTGCGTCTTTACATGCAGTGTCGGAGAGAAGGCCAATAGTGCGTCTTGAAGTCACGGTATCTAGAAGAAGGCCGCAGTGCGTCTGCTAGATACATCTATCGGGGATAAACGAAGGCCGCAGTGCGTCGTTTATTCGCACCCACGTATAGGTGAACACACGATCCGTCATCACGCATATTGCTCGCATACCCCCTTCGCACTTCTACTCGAAAGTGTATTTTTTATTTATTTTTTTATTTCTTTCATCTTTCAGTTATTTCAGTTATGCGATGGGATATAAGAATTGCCGCATATTGCTCGCATACCCCTTTCGCACTTCTACTCGAAAGTGTATTTTTTATTTATTTTCTTATTTCTTTCATCTTTCAGTTATTTCAGTTATGCGATGGGATATAAGATTGCCGCATATTGCTCGCATACCACCTTCGCACTTCTACTCGAAAGTTTATTTTTTTATTTCTCTCATCTTTCTGTTATTTCAATTATGTGATAGGGTATGCGAAATACCGCATATTGCTCGCATACCCCCTTCACGCTTCTACTCGAAAGTTTATTTTTTATTTCTTTCATCTTTCATCTTTCATCGAAAGTTAATTTTTAAAATTTAAATTTTTGAATGGTTTAGAAACCGCTGGCAGTTGGAACGTTACGACCGATTTCGAGGCGTCTTATTCGCTTTTCGAAACGCCTGGGCAGTAAAAGCGTGCACGCGAATCGTTTTATCCGTCTATATAAAGCGTGTAATCGTCGATCCATATCATACCACTTCCCTTACTACCCATCCGTCCCCCAGAACTCTTTGTTAATGGCCCTCCGTTTTTCTTTTTTCTTGTATATGAGAAGCAGTTCGCCGGAGATAAACCAGAGTTACAAAAATTCTTTCTTTCGACCCGTGAGGCAATTCTTTAAGATTACTGTGTCCGAATTGAGAACTCCTAACCTTCCAAATTCGTCGGAGGAAAAAATTCAACGAGCGGAAATTCCGCTATCCAACTTTATTAACGTGGCCCCGGCAGGAAACATATATGCCGAGACAGAGACGATGAAGATCAAACCTCCGGGCCCGGGTATTGCCGGATCAACTGTGAGAAGGTTGAAGGTCGGAACGGTGCGCATCGGCGGCCGGGGTGTAACGGCCCGACCCTCTGTCAGAGGCAATGCTGGCCTCAACCTCTCTAGGTTGTGGTCGGCCAGGTTTTCCTGACAGAGGAAGGTGGTTGGTATCGAAGGAGTTTTTCCCTGAACCTGTCAGAGCCCATCGGTTTAGAGCGTGGTGGTCGTGGCCGATCTCATGCTGGAGTTCTACATGTAACTCCACAAACAAGCTCCACCTACAGCTCCTCTTTCTCGAGTCTGAGTGCTGTGGTAGCTCGTCGGCTCTGTTGGAACCCACGAGGATCTCGATATGCACAAATCACGGACAAACATTCAACATA